ACAAAGTTAAGTAGATGAGTGAATTAGAGCAAATTCAGAGAAAGCCTGTGAAGGCTTCAAATGGGATCCTTTAAATCTCCGAAAAAACCTCGGGGTAGTGCACTTGCATTGCATCTTATCTCAAGGTTTTAATCATTCATATTCTTGGCCTCTTTGGCAAAGTACACAAAACGAGGTCCAGTAATAATCCAAAATTTGATGAAACAGAGTCACAAGGCATGCTTCCATAGTGAATTAAATGGATGATATTGATCAGCATAATGCATTTATATGGCGCAGCACCACATGCGAACGGCGCGTATATACCGTAATTCGTGAAATATTTCACATAAGGGGCTGTGTGTGGCTGTGAGGGGCAGTATGGGCCAGGGATGGTTCCCAAAACTCTGCATTTCTGGACGCATACCCCTATTCTTGACCCATGTATGATGCACCATCAACCGAAGTAGAGACGCATAATCTTCGAGTCCAATTCCCGGTCGGGTACTGCTGCACGTGGCCCCAGAGGCCACGTAATAAACTAAAGGCATCAGATGATCTTCCCACGGGAACAGGTGCAGCGTTCGACAACAACGACGCCTTCGATAGGTCGTAGAAAATCATGACGTCATCAGAAACGCTGGTCAAAGGGGGTCTCATAAATCAGAGCTACTGTCTCTAGGAAGCTATAGTCAACCGAATGAAGAAATCATGTTTGCTCGCGCGATCAGGGTAGGCCTCCTTGAGCTCGATGAGTGCTGCAAATCACGCACTTTCTGAGGACAGTGGGGGCAGTGAAGCAGGTCCACTTTTGCTGATGGGGGGGAGGGCATCTAAGTGATATTTTGTTAGGAGGTTTTATCAACCACACCACCTCGTGCAACGAAAAGCTCGATAATGCGTGACATGGGCGAAGTGACTCTTGCTCCCCACCCCTACCTGTACAAATAGGATTCCATTGTCATCGCGGATACCGTAAAGACAATATTGGTACTCACACTCCACCATCGATTACCACTTGTTATCAGTGATTATCGCCTTCTGCCGCCCATCCAATCAGTCCTCGCTACTCCATTACACAAATATTCTACTGCTCTCGCAAGTAACGACTTTTGTGGCACCTGCGTCTCGACGCCCGTC